AAAAAAAAAATAAAAATAATAATAATAATGATATTAGAGAAATAAAATACCAAATAATGGAGCCAAGAATTCATATCACTGGTTTTTCATGAAAGTCTCAAATCTGAGGATTAAGTAATAGGCAAAAATGAAGACTAAAAGGTTTTTCATGGTCTCTCAATAAGATGTTAAAACATTCATTATTGACTAAGAAAGTTGATATCGACAGCCATACCTTTAGATCCAACTTAAACGGACCTTGATCACATGTTCAAAGGGTAGAGTACCATCCATCCACGTGTGGGGCTTCGGGTATTCGGGTCTTGGAAGAAACAAACCAATTCATTTAAGGAATTTAATTCCATTTTATTTTTCATGTTTAATATGATAGAGTTTAATTTTTATTTCAGACTTGATGTCGAATTCAACCTATCAAAATTCCCTTTCACAGTAATCTGTGCACATAATAAAATAAGTATAATGAATAAAGGTATTTAAGACTGATGAAATTACGTTCTTCATTACATCTTGCATGATACATTTCACGAGAACAAAATGATTCTTTGAAATCATGGCTGTCAAATAACATGATATGGGAGAATATGATCAAGAGAGGAGTTATGAAATAGTTGTACACAAGCATATCTATCTCATACTTCAACTACTTTCACTTTGACTCCAGTTTCACTTTCACATCACACTTATCCTCCACCTTTAAATATTGCATACAAAATTGGCACAGCAATGGCTAAACCAGCATAGACCATGGTCACAGTAACAATAGAGTTGATTTTCATTTTCCACTCCAAGTTCTTCTCTGTGTACAACATAATTTCCTCCATGTGTGGCCCAACATACACAACGTTCCCTGGAGTGTCACTGGCCTCGCGCACGGACAACAGGTGCTTGATCTCGGCCATCTGCTCCTCTAGGGCTTGGTCTTGGAGTTTCACAGCATTTATTATCTCTTCTGACTGTCTGTCCAAGAGCTCACTAGAAATACTCCGTGATGCATTCACTAGAGGTTTACTTTCACTTTGACTAGTTTCACTTTCATTTTGACTAGTTTCCCTTTCACTTTGACTTGAATGCCCTATAAGAAGACTGATATCATTGACAAATGTTTTCAGCCTGTCTTGCTGTCCCTGCACAGTTTCCGCCAGCTGTTCTATCCTTCCCTGTAATTCCTGCGACCCAGCAGAAGATGTCACTATACGTCTCAACTCTCGATTGCGAAGGTAATTAGCTATACTGTACCCCACAAATCCTGTTACTGTGACAACGCCTGAAAACAGTAAACTCCAGTTTTTGGTTCTCTCGGCTTTCAGCCTTTCTTTCTCATGACTTTCTCTATGTGCTGCTGATAGCTGCTGAAAACAGTTTCTCTCCGCCTCTTCAAATTCGCTCAGCTCCTCGGCCAGAGCGTTGTCCTGTGCAATAACTGTATACTCCTCTGTGATCAGCTTAAGAAATCGTTCTTCTCCCCTTTTGGTTTTGTCCAGCTCTAGTCTAATGGTATTTAGCTTTGTCTGCAGAGCAGTTCTCTCGTGCTGCTTGCTCCTCCTCTTCTCTTGATATGAAAGGAACTGCTCTTCAGCCTGTCACAGAGGAAAAATAGATGGACATAGAAAACATAAGAAAGGAACTTCCCAATGTAGCTCTCAATGTTGGATCAATAATGCTCTGACACTGGACTATTCTATTAATTACATCAAACTGGCAAAATCACCCCGAAGCAGCTTGCTATATGAGGATTACTAGAATATATCAAATATGAGCATCTCGTAAGAGGGAAAATATAGATAATGCTCAGCATGTCGTTAAGATATATTTACCAGAATCATACGAGGATAAAAAGGACATAATAATGCAATTAACCACGCCCAATGTTAGGAAGCAATAAATAAATATAAAATACAAAAAGAGTCATGTCAGCAACAGTATATAGTCACTTAACGTGGACCATGTTTAAGTTTATCTTATCATTTAAGTTAAAAGAAATGCCAGTGATGCACGTGCAGTACATGTTACCTCAATGACTTTATGCTGGGCCGCTTTGATCTCCGTGAGTCCAAAGTAGTCTTCGAAGGCCTGTAGCCAGCGAGTCGCCCTCCCTCCTGTGGTGTCATTCAGCGCCTGATCCACCTTGGGCCAACCCGTTATCGGAGACGATGCAAAACGCCGACTGAAATGGTCCTGGGCAGGGAAAAACAGAGTTTGTCTTCGCCGGCTTAGCTGCCCCCACCTCCGTCCTAAGGCGGCCATCTTTGTTTTGACCTTGACTCACACGGACGGAATGTACCACCTTAGACCAGTGCATGCCATCTGAGGAATGTAGCACCGGGGGTCAACACGTTCATGTTATTTCAAAGATACTTTGTTGTGTTGTGTGATGTTATTGAATGGATATCGTGAAATTTTCTCTGCACCCCCCCCCCCCCACCATCGGACACGTATTTGCTGTTTCTGGAAATTCAAAATCAGTGTAAAGTCAGCTAACTCTACGTAGGTACCTCAGTGACCAATGGTCTTAGCTTATATACGATCAAAAATGATGGCAAATGTGGAAAGAGGACGTCGCTGGACAGAAAACTGATCAAAAGCTGGCTTTAATTCATCCTTTTTTTTTTTACATTTTTTGCAACTCACTCTCGACAGTAAAGATAACCATACACCTAAACGGCCCTATGTGGATTATCACAATCTCATTGTCTTCTCTAACACAATCCAACCCATGCAACTCTTGTCACACAAATTCGTTTGCTTCCCAAATTGATAAACACATTTCTGGGAAATGATTTTTTTTTTGCTGTGTGGAAAAGTAAATAAATACGACCATTTGGAATTAATTGTTTCCATAACTTGTTTTCAAACAATTATCTCACAGAGGGCCACGAAACAGTTTTACCCATTTACCCCCATAACTTTCAGTTTGTGACCTAAACAGATTATGAAAATTAGAAATTCTTCCACAATGTATGCTATTGCAATAAAAAAGCACAGCAAATGAGAAGAGGGCAATAGCTTCCCATTAATAACATTTCCAATGTCCTCTTCATCTTTTTTATTCATTATAAAATATCCAAATGATAATTTTGGGACTTCTCAAAGCTTTTGTGCCACATCTCAAACTTCAAGTTTTTGGCAACAAATGCAACTCAAATGTTGTAAACATGGTTTATTCATGTTATAAATGTCAACTCAAATGAATTAAAAAAATGCCACCACTGCCTTTCATATAGCAGCAAAACACATCCGTCCTTGTTGCATTGTTAGTGCACAGCATCTTTTACACTCAAAATGCATAAAAATCCAAAATGTTCCTTTTCTCATCTAAAAATCCTTGAAAAAGTAATGCATGGATAACAGAAAGAGAGAAAAAGAGAAAAATATCCTGTTGACAAAACAGAGAACCAGACACTGCAGTAAAGAAGACATTAAAACTTAGAATATTGAACATCACTGCATGGCACACTTTCATCGGTTATGATGGAGTTACAAAATAAGGAGTATTTCCTGTACTTTGCCTCTTACTCCAACGAAAATATTCTAAGCAGGTCACTGCCGGCTTTCTCTTTCAGAATAAATCTCTCACTGCTCAATGTCCAAGGTTGAATTTTTGTAAAACTAAAGATGTGTGCCTTCCCATGATGAAAAAAAGAAACATCGTATGGTAATACTGTTATTTTTGTTTTCATTTGTTCCCCTTGGCCTTGACCTTATCACTGGCTTGAGCCTCACTTCACCATATCACTTGTGTCACCAGATGTCACATAATACAGCTGAAAAGAGAACAAAAGAAGATTGGATATCAACACTGAAGTTCCAGGGAAGTATGTAAGCCCAGTTAATTAGTATCATTGATTAAATTACTATTATAATAAACAGTCATTTTATGTTGACAATGAAATTAGTTTTCCTTGAAGAACACCACTCTCTCTTCCTTTTTTCTCTTCTGTCATACTCCCCTCCTCTCTGCCCTCTACCAACAGCCTTGATCCCCACACACACATCTTAATGTATTAATATGCAAGTTATCTGGCCCACCTTTATCTCATTAAACACACACACATGCACGCACGCGCACACACACACACACGCACACAGTCCAATTCACCAGTGCTCTGGTCCCCCCAGCCCCATATCACAGAAAATACATGCACGCACACACCCATACACATGCACACAGTGGCAACTCACCAGTCCTCTGGTCCCCCAGGTCCTATATCATCCAACTCCCCGTCCGACCAGTCGTCCTCTGTGCTGATGTCATCCTCATCCTCATCATCGTACATCATGTTCTCCCTCATTGCATAGCTGTCAAAGATGGGGTCATGGAACTTGTACTTCTCCACACAGTGAGGACAGTCAGGGGTGCAGTGAAGGATGCTGGACGGGAGAGTTACCACCGTGGCGCAGCTGTCGTGAAACTGACTTGGGGCGTCCGGCAGCCTCTCCCAGCTGTCCTGGTTCTCCATGTACTTGTAACAACTGAGGTAATTTGAAGGGGTTATTACATGGCCGTTGCGGGGAGGGGCGTCTCGAACATCACGGTCCATCCCACCGAACACAAACATGGCCCCCTTGTGAGGGACGGCCATGCAGTTGATACGGGATGGTTCGTCTGGAAAAGGAGGCAAACTTCGCCGACATCTTTTCCAGCTCTTGAGCTCCATGTCGAAAACCTTGCTGAATCTCTTTCCTGGTGAGGTGACGTAAATCTTTTGACCCGTCACATGCATCATCTCTCCGTACTGGGCCCCGCGTGAGTACTCCTCCGTGACGCACTCCTGCAGATCCACGACGTAAAACCTGACCGTCTCTACGCGCCCGATGCGGCTGGAGTCCGCACATTTGGCAAGCAGACATACGTAACGGTCAAGTACAGAAGCCAGTTGGCACATGGTTGGGATTAGTGAAGTGTCTTGAAAAGGAAAGTATCTCTCGATGTGTGTATTCAGGGGATTAAAACAACAGAGATATGGCTTGCCTGTGAAATACATGCTTCTGTCTTTGAGCATACAAATCATTCCTCGACACGTGACGGAGCATATGATGGTCCTGGAGGCGTAAGACATCAGGGGTTCTTGCACGGTGGTGGAAGAGCTCCACTGAGAGTCCTTCTCCTGGAATTTGTAAAACTCCCAAGTCATGTGCATGGGACGGACGAGATACAAATCACGCTGGTTCAACGTGGTACACACGTGGACATCACTACGGAATGGCATCGGGGGCAACCGCACCCATTTAGAGTCCTCGATGACGAACCCATACATCTGGGCGTGGGGTGTGCCGTCCGGGGTGTGTCGCCCCCCTGAGATTACAATCACCTCCTTCTCCTCCGTGTCGGGGTGGATCTTCCCCAGAGACAAGTCCAAGTCATAGTTCTCTATGTGTTTGACACAGTCTGGGTCGCTGGACACCAGCTCCTGGTCTCTGATCACTGTCTCCATGTCCTTACAACTCACGCTGGACAGGTCTATGGCACAAAACAGCGTCTTGAACTCCTTCCTCCTTTCCATCTCTTTGTGCTTGGCCCACTTTATCAAGGCCTCAAAAAACACCATCGTTGGCACATATTTCAGATTTTTATCCTTCAGCAAGTCGAGCAACGACTCTGCTGACAAGTCTACAACGTCGTCTTCCTTCAACGCCTCATGCAGGTACGCACGCAGTCGTTGGTTGGCCTGATCGTAAAGCGAGTGCAATCCGTACATGCTGGCTAATATACAGAGTCTGAGGCAGTTCTTGGAGGTGACCCCATTCCTGATGAAGTGGTGGGAGCACATGTCTTTCAGTCCCTCCAGCTGGAGATAGTCAGCCAGGTGTAGAATACTGGAGACATTGTGCTCTGTAATGACGGCCTTGCCCAGGTAGATGTACTCTAACACAGTCTCAAAGGTCTCGGGGGAGGTGACACCACTGAGATCAACTTGGCCTGGAACAAGTTTTTATAACATTCTATTATTTTATATCACATTACTATGTAAAATATGTGATATAATATGTGACATTTTATTATTATCATTATTATTATATTTTAATGATAAAAAGCCATAAGATGCTTATAATTGTCTTTGCTTTCTGCAATACCATTCAGTTCATGTTGAACTCTTAAGAAGTTCCCAGCAATACAGACATAGAAACAAGCTTAAAAGTCTAACAGAAAAACATCTAACAGAATACATAGGGTAGTGAAGAAAGGACAACAGATCAGCACACTTACCTGAGAGCCTTTCCTTCATGCCACTGCTGTAGAGAGAACTGAAGTAAGGACAACACATCAGTACACACAGGTGAGCCTTCACTGCCTGAAACACAAACACAGTCCATGATATTATCACATAAATAATCTAGATTACTATCATCATCATTACACTGAAAGTGAATGTTATGTTTAGTGAGGATTAGTGTAGAAGCGAAAACGTGTTTGTCCTGTGTACTTCTTGGTGGATTTCTAGAATGTCATTTCATAAATAATCATTTATAGGACAAAAATGCTAGTAATGTATTTTCTAACACTGTTTAGATGTTTTACACAGCTCTCTACAGGCTTGGTTAAGTTTTGTTATTCACTAATAGCTGGATAATTCAACAACATCAAAAACTTGAACCACATCAATAATTCTCAATTTCTGTAATACATAATTGGCTAAAACGTGAAAAATAAATACTCAGTAACTTTCCTCGCAGACTTATAAAAATATGTATACATATCAATTAACATAGCCATGGGGCACCCTATTCTGTAAATAAACAGCAGCTGAATAGTTCAAATATTGAGTCTCTCTCCATCAATAGCCACAGTGATNAAAAAAAAAAATATAATAATAAACAAATAATAATTAAAATAATAATGATATTAGAGAAATAAAATACCAAATAATGGACCCAAGAATTCATATCACTATGGTTTTTCATGAAAATCTCAAATCTGAGGATTTAGTAATAGGCAAAAATGAAGACAAAGGTTTTTCATGGTCTCTCAATAAGATGTTAAAACATTCATTCTTGACTAAGAAAGTTGATATCGACAGCCATACCTTTAGTTCTAACTTCAACGGACCTTGATCACATGATCAAAGGGTAGAGTACTGTCCATCCACGTGTGGGCTTTGGGTATTCAGGTCTCGGAAGAAATGTAAACATCAATTCATTTAAGGAATTTAATTCCGTTTTATTTTTCCTGTTTAATATGATAGTTTAATTTTTCTTTCAGACTTGATCTCGAATTCAACAAATCCAAATTCCCTATCTCGGTAATCTGTGCACATAATTTGATAAATACATAAAATCAAAAAATAAAGGTATATAAGACTTTAAGATTTAAGGTATTGATGAAATTGTTCTTCATTACATCTTGCATGATACATTTCACGAGAACAAAATGATTCTTTGAAATCATGGCTGTCAAATAACATGATAAAGGAGAAATCTGATCAAGAGAGAAGTTATGAAATAGTTGTACACAAGCATATCTATCTCATACTTCAACTACTTTCATTTTCACTTTCTCCAGTTTCACTTTCACATCACACTTATCCTCCACCTTTAAATATTGCATACAAAATTGGCACAGCAATGGCTAAACCAGCATAGACCATGGTCACAGTAACAATAGAATTGATCTTCATCTTCCACTCCAAGTTCTTCTCTGTGTACAACATAATTTCCTCCATGTGTGGACCTACATACACAATGTTCCCTGGAGTATCACTGGCCTCGCGTACAGACAATAGGTGCTTGATCTCAGCCATCTGCTCCTCCAGGGCTTGGTCTTGAAGTTTCACAGCATTTATGATCTCTTCTGACTGTCTGTCCAAGAGCTCACTAGAAATACTCCGTGATGCATTCACTAGAGGTTTACTTTCACTTTGACTAGTTTCACTTTCATTTTGACTAGTTTCACTTTCACTTTGACTTGCATGCCCTATAAGAAGACTGATGTCATTGACAAATGTTTTCAGCCTGTCTTGCTGTCCCTGCACAGTCTCCGCCAGCTGTTCTACCCTGCTTTGTAATTCCTGCGACCCAGTAGAAGACTTCACTATACGTCTCAACTCTCGATTGCGAAGGTAATTAGTTATGCTATACCCCACAAATCCTGTTACTGTGACCACGCCTGAAAACAGTAAACTCCAGTTTTTGGTTCTCTCGGCTTTCAGCCTTTCTTTCTCATGACTCTCTCTATGTGCTGCTGATAGCTGCTGAAAACAGTTTCTCTCCGCCTCTTCAAATTCGCTCAGCTCCTCGGCCAGAGCGTTGTCCTGTGCAATAACTTTATACTCCTCTGTGATCAGCTTAAGAAATCGTTCTTCTCCCCTTTTGGTTTTGTCCAGCTCTAGTCTAATGGTATTTAGCTTTGTCTGCAGAGTAGTTCTCTCATGTTGCTTGCTCCGTCTCTTCTCTTGATAAGAAAGGAACTGCTCTTCAGCCTGTCACAGAAGAAAAAAAATGGATATAGAAAACATAAGAAAAGGAACTTCCCAGGCACACTGTAGCTCTCAATGCTGGATCAATGATTGTCTGACACTGGTCTATTCTATAATTACATCAAACTGGCAAAATCACCCCCAAGCAGCTTGCTATATTCTCATAAGAGGGGAACAGCATATCATTAAGAAATATTTACCAGAATCATACGAGGATAAAAAGGACATAATATTTAATGTAATTAATTAACCACGCCCTAAGTTAGGAAGCAATAAATAAAATTTTATTCAAAAAGAGTCAAGTCAGCAACAGTAGTCACTTAACGTGGACCATGTTTAAGTTAATCTTATCATTTAAGTTTTTAAAAATCCCAGCGATGCACGTGCAGTACACGTTACCTCAATGACTTTCTGCTGGGCCGCCTTGATCTCAGTCAGTCCAAAGTAGTCTTCAAAGGCCTGTAGCCAGCGAGTCGCCCTCCCTCCTGTGGTGTCATTCAGCGCCTGATCCACCTTGGGCCAACCCGTTATCGGAGACGATGCAAAACGCCGATTGAAATGGTCCTGGGCAGGGGAAAACAGAGTTTGTTTTCGCCGGCTTAGCTGCCCCCACCTCCGTCCCAAGGCGGCCATCTTTGTTTTGACCTTGACTCACACGGACGGAATGTACCACCTTAGACCGGTGCATGCCAACTGAGGAATGTAGCACCCGGAGGTCAACACGTTCATTTTATCTCAAAGATACTACGTTGTGTTGTGTGATGTTACTGAATGAATATCTTGGAATTTTATCTGCACCCCCCATCGGACACGTATTTGCCGTCTCTGGAAATTCAAAATCAGATACAGTGTAAAGTCCGCTAACTCTAAGTAAGGCATCAGTGGTCTTAGCTTATTTACGATCAAAAATCAAGGCAAATGCGGAAAGAGGACGTCGTTGGACAGAAAATTGATCAAAAGCTGACTTTAATTCATCCTTTTCTTTATTTTTTTTTTTTGCATCGACCCGATTCGACCGTGAACATAATCCTTGTGGATTATCACAATATCATGGTCTTTTCTAACACAATCCAACCCACGCAACCCTTGTCACTAACACCCCATTTCCATAGATTAGATCGACCTACTTTAGATCGACCTAACTCCCTGGGGGTTCACGCTAAATAGCTGTCAGCCGGGCGGACACGAAAGTTAATAACACCCTTACAGCTTGTAGTAGGCGGACGGACATTTAAGTCGGATTATCTGAAAGTAATCTAGTGAGACTCCCCGCAGGGATAGATCGATCTAAAATCTACGGGAATAGAGCCATAAATTCGTTTACTTCCCATATTGATGTTTCTGGGAAATTATTATAATTTTTTTTTTTTTTTTTTTGCTGTGTGAAAAAGTAGATAAATACAACTATTTGGAATTCATTGTTTCCATAACTTGTTTTCAAACAATTATCTCACAGAGGACCATGAACCCATTTTATCCATCAACCCCCATAACTTTTTGCTTGCTGCTTTTGTGATCTATACAGATTATGAAAATTAGAACTTCTTCCACAATGTATGCTAAAGCAATAAAAAAAAAGTACAGCAAATGAGAAGAGGGTGATAGTTTCCCATTTATAACACTTTCAATGTCCTCTTCATCTTTTTTATTCATTATAAAATATCCAAGTGATAATTTTGGCACTTCTCAAAGCTTTTGGGCCACATCTCAAACTTTGAGTTTTTGGCAACAAATGCAACTCAAATGATGTAAACATGGTTTATTCATGTTATAAATGTCAACTCAAATCAATTTAAAAATTGCCACCACTGCCTTTCATATAGCAGCAAAACACATTCATCCTTGTTGCATTGTTAGTGCACAGCATCTTTACACTCAAAATGCATAAAAATCCAAAATGTTCCTTTTCTCATCCAAAAATCCTTGAAAAAGTAATGCATGGATAACAGAAAAAGAGAAAAATATACTGTTGACAAAACAGAGAACTAGACGCTGCAGTAAAGAAAACATTAAAACTTAGAATACTGAACATCATCGCACGACACACTGTCATCCGTTATGATGGAGTTACAAAATAAGGAGTATTTCCTGTACTTCGTCTCTTACTCCAACGAAAATATTCTAAGCAGGTCACTGCTGGCTTTCTCTTTCAGAACAAATCTCTCACTGACTCACTGCTCAGTGTTCAAGGTTGAATTTTTGTAAAACTAAAGATGTGCGCCTTCCCATGATGAAAAAAGAATTGTATGGTAATACTGTTATTTTTTGTTTTCATCTGTTCCCTTTGGCCTTGACCTTGATCATTTGACCTTGACCTTATCACTGGCTTGAGCCTCACTTTACCACATCACTTGTGTCACCAGATGTCACATAATACAGCTGAAAAGAGAACAAAAGGAGATTGGGTGACTGAAAAATGTCAACACCGAAGTTCCAGGGAAGTATGTAAGCCCAGTAAATTAGTATCATTGATTAAATTACTATTATAATAAACAGTCATTTCATGTTGACAAAGAAATTAGTTTTCCTTGAAGAATACCACTCTCTCTTCCTTTTTTCTCTTCTGTCATACTCCCCTCCTCTCTGCCCTCTACCAACAGCCTTGATCCCCACACACACATCTTAATGTATTGATATGTCAGTTATCTGGCCCACCTTTACCTCATTAAACACACACACACATGCACGCACGCAAACACACACACAAACAGACATACACACAGACAGCTACACATACAGTATGCACACACTCTCTCACTCACACACACACACACACACACACACACACAGACAGCTACACATACAGTCCAATTCACCAGTGCTCTGGTCCCCCCAGCCCCATATCACAGAAAATACATGCACGCACATACACATACACAAAGTGGCAACTCACCAGTCCTCTGGTCCTCCAGGTCCTATATCATCCAACTCCCCGTCCGACCAGTCGTCTTCCGTGCTGATGTCATCCTCGTCCTCATCATCGTACATCATGTTCTCCCTCATTGCATAGCTGTCAAAGATGGGGTCATGGAACTTGTACTTCTCCACACAGTGAGGACAGTCAGGAGTGCAGTGGAGGATGCTGGACGGGAGAGTGACCACCGTGGCGCAGCTGTCGTGAAACTGACTCGGGGCATCCGGCAGCCTCTCCCAGCTGTCCTGGTTCTCCATGTACTTGTAACAACTGAGGTAATTTGAAGGGGTTATTACATGGCCGTTGCGGGGAGGGGCATCTCGAACATCACGGTCCATCCCACCGAACACAAACATGGCCCCCTTGTGAGGGACGGACATGCAGTTGATACGGGATGGTTCGTCTGGAAAAGGAGGCAAACTCCGCCGACATCTTTTCCAGCTCTTGAGCTCCATGTCGAAAACCTTGCTGAATCTCTTTCCTGGTGAGGTGATGTAAATCTTTTGACCCGTCACGTGCATCATCTCTCCGTACTGGGCCCCACGCGAGTACTCCTCCGTGATGCAGTCCTGCAGGTCCACGACGTAAAATCTGACCGTCTCTACGCGCCCGATACGGCTGGAGTCAGCACACTTGGCAAGCAGACAAACATAACGGTCTAGTACAGAAGCCAGTTGGCACATGGTTGGGATTAGTGAAGTGTCTTGAAAAGGAAAGTATCTCTCGATGTGTGTATTCAGGGGATTAAAACAACAGAGATATGGCTTGCCTGTGAAATACATGCTTCTGTCTTTGAGCATACAAATCATTCCGCGACATGTGACGGAGCATATGATGGTCCTGGAGGCGTAAGACATCAGAGGTTCTTGCACGGTGGTGGAAGAGCTCCACTGAGAGTCCTTCTCCTGGAATTTGTAAAACTCCCACGTCATGTGCATGGGACGGACGAGATACAAATCACGCTGGTTCAACGTGGTACACACGTGGACATCACTACGGAATGGCATCGGGGGCAATCGCACCCATTTAGAGTCCTCGATGACGAACCCATACATCTGGGCGTGGGGCGTGCCGTCCGGGGTGTGTCGCCCCCCTGAGATCACGATCACCTCCTTCTCCTCTGTGTCGGGGTGGATCTTCCCCAGGGACAAGTCCAAGTCATAGTTCTCTATGTGTTTCACACAGTCTGGGTCGCTGGACACCAGCTCCTGGTATCTGATCACTGTCTCCATGTCCTTGCAACTTACGCTAGACAGGTCTATGGCACAGAATAGCGTCTTGAATTCCTTCCTCCTTTCCATCTCTTTGTGCTTGGCCCACTTTATCAAGGCCTCGAAAAACACCATTGTTGGCACGTATTTCAGATTTTTATCCTTCAGCAAGTCGAGCAATGACTCTGCCGACAAGTCCACAACGTCGTCTTCCTTCAACGCCTCGTGCAGATACGCACGCAGTCGTTGGTTGGCCTGATCGTAAAGGGAGTGCAATCCGTACATGCTGGCTAGTATACAGAGTCTGAGGCAGTTCTTGGAGGTGACCCCATTCCTGATGAAGTGGTGGGAGCACATGTCTTTCAGTCCCTCCAGCTGGAGATAGTCAGCCAGGTGTAGAATACTGGAGACATTGTCCTCTGTTATAACAGCCTTGCCCAGGTAGATGTACTCCAACACAGTCTCAAAAGTCTCAGGGGAGGTGACACCACTGAGGTCAACCTGGCCTGGAACAAGTTTTTATAACATTCTATTATTTTACATCACATTACTATATAAAACATGTGATATAATATGTGACATTTTATCATTATTATTATTATATTTTCATGATAAAAAATTATTGAGAAGCCAGAAGACGTTTATAATTGTCTTTGCTTTCTGCAATACCATTCAGTTCATGTTGAACTCTTAAGAAGTTGCCAGCAATACAGACATAGAAACAAGCTTAAAAGTCTAACAGAAAAAACATCTAACAGAATACATAGGGTAGTGAAGAAAGAACACATCAGCAGACTTACCTGACAGCCTTTCCTTCATGCCACTGCTGTAGAGAGAACTGAAGTAAGGACAACACATCAGTACACACAGGTGAGCCTTCACTGCCTGAAACACAAACACAGTCCATGATATTATCACATAAATAATCTAGATTACTATCATCATCATTACACTGAAGGTGAATGCTATGTTTAGTGAGGATTAGTGTAGAAGCGAAAATGTGTTTGTCCTGTGTACTTCTTCGTGGATTTCTAGAATGTTATTTCAAAAATAATCATTCATAGGACAAAAATGTTAGTAATGTATTTTCTTACACTGTTTAGATGTTTTACAGAGCTTTCTACAGGCTTTGTTAAGTTTTGTTATTCACTCATGGCCGGTTAATTCAACAACATCAAAAACTTGAACCACATCAATAATTCTGTTATACATAATTGGCAAAAACGTGAAAAATAAATACTCAATAACTTTCCTCGCAGACTTATAAAAATATCATGTATACATATCAATTATCATAGCCATGGGGCGCCCTATTCTGTAAATAAACAGCAGCTGAATAGTTCAAATATTGAGTCTATCTCTCCATCAATAGCCACAGTGATATCACATGTATCAGACCTACCTTCCCATCAATAGTCACAGTGATATAACATGTATCAGACCTACCTTCCCATCAATAGTCACAGTGATATCACATGTATCAGACCTACCTTCCCGTCAATAGTCACTGTGATATCACATGTATCAGACCTACCTTCCCGTCAATAGTCACAGTGATATCACATGTATCAGACCTACCTTCCCATCAATAGTCACAGTGATATCACATGTATCAGACCTACCTTCCCATCAATAGTCACAGTGATATCACATGTATCAGACCTACCTTCCCGTCAATAGTCACAGTGATATCACATGTATCAGACCTACCTTCCCGTCAATAGTCACAGTGATATCACATGTATCAGACCTACCTTCCCGTCAATAGTCACAGTGATATCACATGTATCAGACCTACCTTCCCATCAATAGTCACAGTGATATCACATGTATCAGACCTACCTTCCCATCAATAGTCACAGTGATATCACATGTATCAGACCTACCTTCCCATCAACAGTCACAGTGATATCACATGTATCAGACCTACCTTCCCATCAATAGTCACAGTGATATCACATGTATCAGACCTACCTTTCCATCAATAGTCACAGTGATATCACATATATCGGTGGAGTGGCTCCTCTGTTCCCACAAAGCCTTGGCCATACGTGTCAGGTGTCTGTGACTGTCCATCCAACAGTCTGAACTCTCCTCGGCACCCCCATCACTTTCTGAACTAATATCACTAAGGATCGATTTGGGCCTCCTGAGGAGAACAGGAAATTAAGCAATTATATGTCTTTTTTATGGTTATAATTGTTTTGAAGTCAGAGAGGAAGATGTGGCGCACAAGTAGGAACTATCTATGCTGCCTATGTCGCATATGAAGGCTCACAATCCTGAATAATATTTAAAGATTTCATTTCAAATGCAGCAAGTTATGACTGCAAGATGCGTGGAAGATTTTTACATTTTATATATCAATGGGCTGGGTTAAACATGATTAAAACTCGAAAAAGACCACAGGTAATTACAAAAACATTTTGTGTAAACAGCTTTGACATAGATGAACAAGAAAATGTAAAAAAACTTTTTAAAAATCTGCTTGAAAAGTGAAAGTTACAGGGGGGGGGGGGTATACTACAAAAGTACCAAAATTGGCAACTACTAGTAAATGTCCGTCAAATGGGTATACAAATAAACTCCCAAAGTCCAATATTTTATATTTACTATGAAGAACCATTATCATGGACGGTCTAATTCATTCGACAAAGGAGACACATAACCAATGAAAATGTCAAAATGTGTCCGAATTGCCTGACTGCAGACCATTCAAATTTCGTTTTGGCAAAATCAAAACCACTGAGCAATAATTACTCTACTTTTTATCACCAGAGCTTCAGTTTATTTACCTTTGGTTGCTGAAAGCTAGAGAGGAGACCGTAGGGTATCTTCCAAGTAACACAGGTGGTTCTGCCATCTTTTAAACTAAATAAAATCATCGAAGGCGTGCATTCCCAACTTGGGGATGCCTTGTGTCAGCAGAAATATGGCCGATGATATTCACGCGCTCTCGAGAAACCGGTGGCACTGGCTGGAGACAGGTCACCTTAGGCCACGAATGGGCCGTCACATGCCATGTCAAGCCAGAAGCTAGATGTCATCTTAGGCCAGAGAGTTTAACGCCAATACCCCGTAGGCCAAACAAAAGTAATATGTTAGTTTTAGGAAGTGCTACTTACCCTAATTTGGGAGAAATCAGAACTTTTTGCACCCAATCATATTATCATTTTGTACCCTTTTAATTATTTTAATTTTATTGTATTTATTTGTGCTTTTTATCTATCCTAAGATCTAATGAAAGGTATATTAGATCTTAGATCTATCTAACCACAGAAACCCCACATCCTTTTCCATAATTTTTCAGTAGCAAAATGTTTTTCTTTTATGTCCACATTTCATGCTATATGTTTATTTCTGTTTTTCACAAAATGAAAATATTGAATTAAAATCTTAATTAATGTGATTTTGTGGCTGACGAAAAAGATTATTTGATCTCCAAGTAATGATATACGTATAAATCTGGCTGTGTATTTATTTATTTATTTATTTATTTTGATTAATCAATTTATTTATTAATTAGTTTGTTTGTGTTTTAAAGGATATATATGGCAAGTGGTATACACGCAATCATTTCTAAAAAGCTTACATCAAATCACCTTTAAAACATCAAACTTAATAACACGTTAGAAATACGCAAGGTTATGAAAAGTACTTATTTCCGTGATTAATGAGCAGATTTCCATGCATATTTAGCTGTTAAGTTCTCTGGCCTGAGATGTCATTTATTCTGTCATCTCCTGACCTGGGGCATTCCTACATTGACCTTTGACCTTAATCTTTCATTGGTCGAGAGCAGCGCCACCTGTAAATATGCAACCAGGAAGATTTCCTTATCGTTGTCCTTATTGGCTGTACAAAGCGGAACCGAGTGGAAAGTTCCGGTGCTGATTTCTTGAGTTTCGTGACTCTCGAAGAAAAATAGACAATTAATCTAATCAAATCATGAGAGGTTTGGAGTTCAAGTGCTTTTTCTACGTGAAGTTGATGGACTGAATGGAGGGCCATTAATTTTGGACAGGTAGAATGTACATTTGCTGATGGTACATGTTAATTAACCTCTACAAAAAAAAGAACTAAGAAAAGACTAGACAAAGTCATTGAAGGCTCATGCTATCACTATGATCTGATTGGCGTAATGAGATTAAGTTTTTACCCCAAAGTTGTAAAACTAGCCATATGAACTTGTTTCAAATCTAATTTTAGAAGAAAAATGTCGTGATCGTCAATTTTACATTTATAAAATTTTAAAGTTTGTGTCTATTTCAGATGTTAAAACACAGCTACAGTAGCCCTTAGACTTAACCTTAAGCTGTTAAAAGCTCAAATGTTTTGATAACCCAGGGAAGTTTTTCTAAAAAGAACTATGAATTCTCGGAGAGACTTGAGGGTCCAGCCCACCACCCTGGTTCGCTGCATGCGGTACAGTCACATCAGCCAATTGTGTCATCTTCTAGACCCTGACCAAGCATGGAAACACATGACTGACTATATCACCAAACCCAATGGCCAGCCGAAATATAACTTTGATACAATATGGTAATGCTGTGATAGCCTACTAATAAATACAACATTGATATAGTTTGACAACTTTTCTTGATTTCGGTTAGAAACAACAGTCTCTGTTCACAGTAAAGGTACTCATTAAGAATTATATGGTTAAACCAAAGCATTAAAATAGAGCACTGGCTTCTGTAAAGGTGACATAAGTTGAGTCTGATCCAATTGTTTGTAAAATATGAAGGAGCTAAGTTATCTTTTTTATCACCCTTTCACAATGGAAAATTAAAAAATATATATAATTACCAAAATAACAAAGCAGATTTCATATGCACATCCAAGAAATCTACCCAAGCACATTAGAAAATGTAATAGATTATAAATTATTCTTAACTTAAAAATGGTGATAATCCATTTTTTAGCATGTTAGAAATGGAAATGCAGAGGCCGAATGGCAGCCCGACAAGAAAACTGATTGAGGATTGGTCTACCCAGAACACCACGGTGAAAGATTTGCTGGACGTTCTCATTAAGTCAAAACTCTACCGAGCAGCCAACTTCATCAGTGTGGACGTGTTAAAGGGTACGTTTGGTTTTGGTTAGATTAGGATCTGTTATACCAGTACTAGTAATGGATGTCATGACCCTGTCATGATAAACTTTTCAGATGTATAATTTGAGTAGAGCAGCTTACTGCGCATTCTGCAGATTGTAGGGGCAGATCCAGAGATATTTTCCGACAGTCCTCCATGTTGATCCATCCCCCATTTTTAGCCGTCTTAATTCCAACAAAAAAAATTAGATACCTGTCAATGTAAACTTGAAAAATTCTGACTGTCTTCTGGAAGATCCAGAAGACGGCCTCCATCAACCCCTGAGATTCGGACTGATTTGAGTGCTTGATACAAAACCCCTATATCATTAACTTGAAAAACCTGTGCATCTTAGTCAAGGAGACCAGTCATGTCAAATTTATCCCTGTATCCATCTGAGAGGAAGAAAAACTCCTAATTTATATTTTAAGGAATAAGAAAAGTATAAGATTCATGGCTATTAAAATGAAAGTGTGTGTGTGTGTGTGTGTGTGTGTGTGTGTGTGTGTGTGTGTGTGTGTGTGTGTGTGTGTGTGTGTGTGTATTTTATTTTCCATTTAATATGTCATTGTCAATTACATTCTATGTTTTTCCTATAGGTAACAAAATTGAAGAAAATATAATCTTGTATGAAAGAAATGGTATGTTCTAATTTGATTTGCCTTTATTCTATAGTTAAAAAACACATTTGCAGTCTCATTGTATCAGGGAATGAGGATTCTATCTTCAAAATTTGTCTCCAAAAGAAGCAGCTATTTATCATGTCATGTCACATATACTTTACGCAGATCTATGCTAAAATTTTCAAAATTGAAGAATCCTAATTAATGTAAGTAAAGGCTGAATTTTTTATAGATTTTTGTTCATAAGTTTAGCTAAATACCTAATGTCAGTTTAGATGTGGTTTTGTTTCACTTTTTACTTGCCTGCACATTTACACTGAGAAAAAAATATAAGCACCCCATGTGAATCATTTATATAATGATTAATGCTATGAACAGTAATCTGTGGTAGTCTGTAGCACATTGAACTACAAAATTCACTTTGAATCATTTGATATATTTATAACCCATAACACTAATAAAATTTTTAAAGCATTGTGTGGGGCATTTATACTTTTTCTCAGTGTGTATTTTTGTTCCCGCTTTGTATGTATGATTTCAGCTTAGTAAAGTTTGCCATTGCTGTCTGACTAGATTATATTATTAACTCTCAGTCTAAATATCTTAATTTCAGATTCTGTGACGTCTCTTCCTTGCCCTGGTCCCACAGAGAGCAGCAACTTGGGTCACTTAAACATCGAGTTGGGCAGCGTGCAAAGCTCCAGTGACAGTAACAACTTTTCTAATGACAACAACAGTAGCAACAGTGGCAGTAGCAACAGTGGCAGTATTAGAGTCCATAGACTCGACCACAGCAGTTTTGGAGGGCCTGCAGAAAATTCAGAAGGCAAGAATTTAGCTCGTTGCCCGTCTGAGAATGATTCAAGTCCCTACCTCGCTTCTGAAGAAGTGAATCAGATGATCTCATTAAAGAATGATGTGGAGAACGGAAAGGGGTTAGATGTTGAGCAGGCTACTGACCCTTATTGTTCTCAAGAGACGGTGCTTGTTGGAGCTGTGGATGGGGAGAAGAAGGACACGCAGGCTGCGGGAGACGATATGTCGAGTCTGATACAGGATATTGTGGAAGGGTTGGAGCATGGAGGTGAGACACATAAAACATAATTGAAGACCTTTAATCTATTTCATTAAAATTTTTAAGTTGTGTCGTTTTTTTTGTTGTTGTTGTTGTTTTTGTTATAAAAATATACTTTTTAATTACTTTTGTTTATTTACATTGAGACAGTTAACATTAAACCCCGATGAATGGCATTGTATTTCAGACAGTGTCAAGCACTTTGAGTATTCCAAGTTGAAGCTGATCACAGGAAACTTTAACAGGACGGCTGTCAGTGAGAAAGGAAATTTCCTTGGACAGGGAGGATTTGGAGAAGTATACCTTGGTAAGGTCTTTATCCTTGATACACCATCTTTATTTGAGGTTTAGTTTATATTAAAATCAATATGAAAATTATGTTCGATTAAATAATTATTGCTATCTTAAAAATAATATATATAAATTGTAAATTTTGTTGTTTCTTCTTAATTATCCAAGATGAATATCTTATCTTATTTACATTTTAGATAAGCCATTTTATTAAAACTTATTTACTAATAATTACATGTTTTTCATGATTCAGTAAAATCATGTTTAACATGTTCTTCATATTTTATGTACTTTCAGTACTTAATTCAATCGCACCGTTTTTCCACATTTTTAATATCAGCAAGATGTTTTTTTGTATTTCTAGCAGTTAATAATCTCAATATTTTACGATGCCTTTCCCAGGTAAACCAGATAGCGTCCACTTAATTGCTGTGAAGCGTCTGATGGACAGAGTTGATACAGTGATGAAACAGTTCAAAACTGAGCTACAGGTGCTTTCAAAGTAGGTCATCTATTACTCTCCTTCACAAAGCCCCTCTTTGCACCAATATTACATCGATTGATTGTTTGTATAGACCTAAGTAGAGTGTCAACTCATTGAGAAATAAGACTTGGATATTCTTCTTGAACTCTGGCCACTGCCATGAAATACTTGATACATTAAGAGGGAAATATACTTACTCTTTGTAAGCCAGGGCTCAACATGTATAACCACCTGGAATGGTTTGTTAACCCTTGGCAGACTTTTAAATTAAAGGTCTCAACATCTTTTCTTTTTACATGTATATAGATACAACAGTTTGACTTCCAAGTCAAGATGGACAATTTTATTTATTGCAAGACAATTAATTTCATAAATTGTACTATAAAGTGAGACTTTCTTTTCAGATACCGCCACAAAAACCTGCTTCCTCTGCTGGGCTACTCCAGCGATGGTCCTCAATTCTGTATAGTATTTGAGTACATGCCGAATGGCTCGGTTGAGGACAGGCTGGCGTGCAAGGTGATCCTCAGTGTGGAGTTTATATACTGTTAGGCTCTATTCCCATAGATTTTAGATCGATCTATCCCCGCGGGGAGTCTCACTAGATTACTTTCAGATAATCCGACTTAAATGTCCGTCCCGCCTACTACAAGCTGTAAGGGGGTAATTAACTTTCGTGCCTGCCCGGCTGACAGCTATTTAGCGTGAACCCCCAGGGAGTTAGGTCGATCTAATCTATGGAAATGGGGTGTTAGAGTTTATACCAGACCAGGCAGCAGAGACCAGGGAAAATTATTTTCACCTGCTGTATATGTCAAAACATTGGAATAAGTTTTGAGTTTCATCAGGATTTTTTATTAAGAAATATGAGGTGAAATGATATAGTGGACTTAAGAGGAATGTCATCATTATTTGAAGTTATAATCTTAATTCAAAAAAGCATACATGATTGTGTTTTACAATAATTTATGAATAATGATTTTTTTACTTGGCATATTTTAGGAAAACACGCCACCCCTCTCTGTGGAGCAAAGATTAGAAATAGTCAAGGGTACGGCGTGTGGCATCGTCTTCCTCCATACCTTTGACGAGAAACCTTTAATACACAGAGACATAAAGAGGTCAGCACTTGTGCCAGCGTCAGCGAATAAAGTTGACTAAAGCATTTTTAGGCTGGTAAAAATGTAGATTGTTTCTACGAGACTAAACATGGGTTTGGTTATGAGGGGTTATTTTTCTTTACTCTTCATCAGCATGTTAAGACTACTTTCGCATCAGCTTTGCATGAAAGTCCATGAAAAGTAGTAGGTAAATAAATTTGAACATATTCTTTCAAGTTGTCTCCTTAAAATTTTCAATGAAACTATTCCAACTTTTAGTGCCAACATTCTTCTGGACTGTAATATGGTTCCAAAGGTTGGAGACTTTGGCTTTGCCAGGACGGGCTCGGCTAACCCAGCCTCCATGAAGATGACCACAACAGTCATCGGCACATCTGCGTACATGGCCCCCGAAGCCGTCAAGTTTGACATCTCCATCAAATTGGACACTTTCAGTTATGGTGTGGTAAGTTGCACGATGTTATATTGTCTGTGGAAAATGCAAGCAAGTTGGATTTTCATTAAATGACTTAAATGCTAATTCAATCTCTTGAAAGAAAAATGTAATGTAATTATTTATCTTCTAAATTAAGGACATTTTTGTGCCAAACCACTTGATTTAGCCCACTGTAAGGCTATGATTAGCTTCAAATGTTATTCTTCTTTGAAAGAAACTTGGAAACCTTCTTTGCTAAAGATATGGTTCAATTGAAATTGTAGAAAATGTTGATTTTTTTTCAAGTGTAAAGACCAGAAACGTGCTTAGACTGAAGTAAATTGAATAAATTAAATGTGTTATTGTACAGCTGTTAAAATAGGGAATAATTTCAAATTTTGTATTTGTTTATTTAAATTCCAGGTGCTCCTAGAATTGCTGAGTGGACTGCCCCCTTTTGATGAGGAGAGAGAGGAGAAGGATTTGGTAAGTTGAAGTCCATGGCACACCCGCGTGAACATACACATACATGTAAACATGCACGCATTAATGTGTGCACACACTCACACACACACACTCACACACTCACACACACGCTGACATTATGTACTTAGAACTCTGAGACATTTATAAAATATCTTTCCAAATTTTCTCATTTTGTTAATTTGATGAAAATACCGAATCAAGTTTTGGACAAAAGATTTTCTTCCTATTCAAAGATGGGATAAGAAAGAACATGAAAAATTGCAAAATTTTCCTTACCAAATCAGCCCAAGCATTTGGCTAGTATTAGACCACTTGAAATGAAGAAATGCCCAGGTATCTGAGTGAACATGTTTATTTTCTTCTGCCCCCCCCCCCCCCCCC